TTTGGAGCATTGAGAGCATTGTTCATCGTTTTATAATTCGGTTGTTCGTCTACTGATGAGATGGCGCGTATAATTAATCGTCGCCGATGATCGTAATCTCCATTATTTCGATTCTGAGTAAATTTTGCGCACTGTTTTTCTCCTTTCTTTCGTTGTTAGATAATTATATTGAAGGTGATCGTTTTTACGGGGCGTTCTTAATTATCATACAGCTACTGATTATAATTCTGACCAAGAAACTGCTGCGACAAACATAATACTAAAGTTGTGTTCATAAAATGTGTCTGTATATAAAGCATTTTGGGCCAAAAATGTTTTAGACTACTTTGCTTCTGTATGCTTTATTGCAGATTAATGCCAATTAAGTAAGCGTTGCTTCTATGATCTTTTATGGTCTTCTACAGTTTCACGTCTAAGTGGTCGACTTTAGTTGAATTGTATTCGAACGCTACCTGTTTCTTCTCCTGAGAAATAAGGAAATGACCGAAGCATTTCATCTTAAAACAATACATTAAAAAGGAAGAAAACCAAAGCTGAAAAATAAAGGAAAAGGTAAAAATAAATAATAATAATAATAATAATAATAATGATAATAATGATAATAATAACGAATATTTATACAGGATAGCCCTTCAGTGCAGGAGCACTGTTATCAATGGGGTCCTGTCTAAATAAGATAATATAAGGATAAAAACTAGAATAAGATTAGAATGACTACGCACCTAACTAAATGCCCTATGCAAACCTTCAGGGATCATTAATGTAATCGTTAACTGCAAATCATCTCGTTTTGACTTTATGAGTTACTTTTTTGTGACGGATTATTAAATTTTGAACGGTTTTAGACTACGTTGCAATCTTTTTTAAAAACATTCTGTACCAGAAAATCTATTTGTAATTTAATTTTTGCGGGAAAACCAAAGTGATTTAAAAAAGAGAAGAGACAATTAATGTTATTTATTGGCAAAAGGTTGTTACCGAAGTCTTTGCTTACAAATTCTGCTCAGCGTGTAAAACAAAGTATATTTAGGAAAAATTGTAACAAAGCCAGAGATGTTTTTCAAAGCGAGTTAAGAGGAAACAAATACCGCCCGCTCAAGAACTGAGAAAAAAAATAGATGTCTATTTTTAAAGAAGTGCCTAAGTTGACACATTCAGCGAAAAAAACAACGGACGATCGATAGATTCACCCCGCTGGAATTGTTGTTAACATGACTTCACGGTCAGAAAGTCGCTTAGCGCCGGGCTGAAGAAATTCTGAAAATTGACTAAAAACAAGGTCTTCCATACAACAATACCTTTAGCACATAGTAACACTTAGAATGATATTTTCAGGTCTGAATAAGAGCTTAAATGTTGCAAAGCCTCACCAGAAGTCGAGTCCAGTTTTCATTTCTCAGTCATTTTAATATCAATTCAAAATCTAATTTGTAGTGTTTAAGTCTTAAATCTACATTAGTTCTAAATTGACTACTCTCCGGTATGTACTTTTCCCTGGAGCTCCGAAAGGTCCACCTCAATTCGGGTAGAATGGGAAACGTAAGAAAACAATTTCGTAATTCATTACACACCTCTGCATGAAGTTACTGGACAGTTTCGATTAGCCGCGAATTGCAAACAAAAGGGCTTCCTTAAAATTCTTTGCACCTTTCGAGAAGTCTACGGTCAATTTCACTTTCCCAAACAGAGAAATTATCTCTTAGGCCTATCATGAAAAAAAACAAGGTTCGCAAACATACAACTTAAAAAAATAAAAGGACTTGCCTAGTCTTTTTTTACTCTGTATCTCACTCAACAACATCAACGATCGAGGCCGCGCAAAACAATATGTCCCTTTAGAGACTTGGTACTAGGTTGGCCAACTCCAGCATTTATTTGGATGCAGTATTAGCAAAGTCGCTATTTGCTTCGCCACCCATGCTTCCCACAACGGATTCTGGAGAACTCAAATTAACTGCCAGCCGTTGAGTGGCCTAATTTTTAAGCCAGCGTCTACTGTCAAATCTGCCTACCGTTATAGTCAAGCGTCGAAGGTTCCAATCTATTAAGACCCTCCCATTAGTTTGAAGAAAGGAGTCACGTTTAACACCCAGCAGTTAACTCAATCACACGAGTTGACCGCGAATACTACGAATAATCAAAGTGTCGTATCCGTTCATTTTTATTTCATCTCTCGTTTGTCTCTATCTTTTGAAACTGTGGGTAGCAAACATGTTGCGAACTTGAACGTAGTGAACTTGATAGGTAGCGAAACCGGCTGTTGCTCTTGTGAGCCGAGGAAAGAAAAACTGATAAAATATGCTGGGCTCACTAAAACATCGAGTAATACCGAGGGTGTTGCAGCGCTTATTCTCATTTGGATATTCACTTGCAGAAGAAAGCCACTCTGCACTCTGAATTGCGCGTGCACGGAATGACTTCGTACCATCTACCTCCTGTTGCGTTCGTCGTGACCTCAGTTGGTGTATGCATTGTTGTTTGGGATCTAGGGTGGCGTCTTTGACTGGTAAGCGATGTTATCCATAATTCCATAATGTAAATGACAATCATATATGTGAACTACGGCTAAAGAGATTAGTATGAGAGCGATCTTCGCAGTTATGAACACTACTTAAGAAGGTAGTGAAAATAAGGCCTGTACGGGATTCGACCCCATGACCTCTGCGATACCGGTGCAGTGCTCTTCCAACGGAGCTAACAAGTCAGCCAACTGGGAGCCTACTTGATTTCAAGAATTAATAGCTAAGCTTATTTAGGGCTATCTCATCTTCTTGAATTCTAAAACTCTCAATTTCATGAATTGTTCTTCCTTAAGCCTCTAAGAAACGTATCTCTTTTACTTTCGTGATACTTACAAATAAAATATGTGAGATTTTGCTCCAAGCATGTAAATCTAGATGCAATCATCATCTTATTGGTCAACACCTTTTTGAATAGCTCGATGCTAAATACCTCTTTCTTCTTTAAAAGTAAATTGCTTGGCGCGAGCAGGCTCTACAACATCTGGTGAGCGAGGATTGCCGCGGGCTATTCGATCATTTTACACGAAACTAATTTAAGCTCTTAATTAGATGGGTTTTGTTAGCTAAGTCCATGTTAGCCTCTCCACTAATAATGGAATCTTTCCTTCCTTGCAGCGGTAAATCAAATCGATTTTAAACCTCCTGAGGAGCCTATGAGAATGTTTTCAAAGGGAGTCTAACGTAAACAAATAGCACGTTGGAAAATATGAATAAGGGAAAAGGTTCGAAAAAGAAGAGCTCGTCACAAGGGGCCACTTGGCAAGGACCTGCGCAACTCCGTGATATTGCAGAAACTACGCCAACCCATGATAGTGCAGAAACTGCGCCACCCCGAGCTAATGCAAATATGCTATTGGAATTGGGGAGAAGAGGTAAACAAAGAGAACAAAATGAAGCAAGAGCACCTCTACAAGGCCATCATATTATTAACAAAGACTGTATAACTTTGTACAAAAAAATACTAGAAGTGTTCGTCGATAAAGACGTGGATAACATTTTCTATGGAAAGAGCTTTGGCTTCCTTAAGGAGAAGCACATTATAAATGACAAATTTTTACCCAATGGCTTTGTGCTGCAGGACAATCCACTTCAAGAAGTAGCCAACGAAATAACTGAGATGACAGCTAACGAGCCCCAGGATTATGCACGGCAAAAAGGAAACAAAGGAGTAGACATAAACGCAGAAAATTACGGAGCAGCTAAAGTAACACTATTGCGAGATGTACATTCAATAATGAGTGATATTTGTTCTAATGCAAAGAAAAACAAAGAGAAAACTGAAGAACTTAGTTCCGAAAAAGATAGTGACGAAGCACAAGGGGATAAGGATGTATATAAGAAAATTGAAAAACTTAGCTCTACGATAGAAGAATTGTTTACTAGTAAAGAAGTGTACATAGATCATCGGGCCTTACACTGGCGGAAAAAGGAGTTAGGCGAAACTAAATTTGATGAAATAACAAAATTTAACTTATGCAAAGAAAGAGTCGAGAAGCTTTTTAAAGATATTGCACACGAGGAGGGAATACAGCTCGTCGTGCATTGGGGACAGTGGGCTTTTCGTGTAAGCGAAGGGCTCCGCTACGGATATGTGGTCAATAGCGAAAACTAAATTAGTTACTGTCTGTCCATGGCTTTTTATACATTAGAAAAAAACTATTTCCACTAGTTGTGAAAAATGGATTCAAACCAGTCCCGTGTGTCTACTTTGGTATTGTTTTTTCTACTGCATTGTTCCAATTTTTTTGCAGAAAAGTTAACAAATATCAGAGCTCGCTTTCTGGTTATTGTTAAAAGCATTTTTTTAAATCAACTCAGGACGTACTGACTACTTCGTAACTGTAAAGATCATTTCTGTTTGTTTGTAATTAGTTTTGTTTGTTGAAAAGTACAGCGTAAGTGAATGATCACCTTGAAGAAGAAGGGAAAGTTAGGAAAAGAAGAGAAAATTAGGCAAAAGAGATGCGGAAAGAAGAGACAGAGAGTGGTAGTTTTCTCAGAAATGTACAATGGACGAAAAATTGGATTTAAACAGATTTGCAACTGAAGTTAATATGGTGCAAATTTAGGTCTTCAGATTTGACCTAAATTCGCATTGGAAGCAATGATGATGCAAACGCAGATATTTATTCCCGTTGTATTTGCGCGAAAATGTGAAGTAGATATGATATCTACTTCACCTTTCCTTCGTTTTTTATGCCTCCGCAATTCAACAAATTTGGCTTACATTGGTACAGAGAGCTAACCGCCTCCCGGTTAGCTCAATGGAAAGAGCACTGGACTGTTGTGCGGGAGATCGAGGGTTCGAGCCCCGGCCAGACCAACACTCAGGGTCTTAAAATAATTGAGAAGAATTTGCTACTTTTCTATAACATCAAGAAATGGTTAGATTTTCTAGTCTTCTTGGATAGGGAGGTCCCGTCTCCTGCAGGGTTGGGGTAGGAGACGTTAATTTCCCACACACGAGATTACTGTGTGATGGATGTCCTCCCCTGGGTCGGGATGGGTGGGAGGGTGGACTAGCACGAATGATTCGTATGTTCTTTTCTAGTCCTTCCCCACTGCAAAAATTAATGCAGTGAAAATGGAGTAAATTAAATTAGACTTTCTCTCTTTGGAAAGTATTACGTTTGCTCTCAGCACAAAATCTAGGCAAACATGGTGTAAATCCATTGGTATTCATCAAATGTTACGGGGCGTCAAATGATAACATTTGCACGTGTTTTACTTATGTTTTGCTACAGCAGCAAATATGCACATATACACTAAATTTGTATTACTATCAAACCAAAAAATTTCCGCGTATTATCTCACATTTGCTATCGACGCAAATGTGGTCATCTTCGATAAATTTTCCAAAATGTACCTTTTAAAAAGAGTATGGTCTAGTAGCCCAAATAGGCAATATCTGCAGTTTAGTAGCATTGGGTCTAGGAAGAAGTGAAGAAGAAAAGCTCATGATTGTAATATTATTATCATAATAATAATGGTGACTAAAATGTTTTAGATTATGGTGAACCTTAAAGAGTTACCAATATTAATAAAAATTAATAATATCAAGTGTAAATTCAATTACTAATACATTTACTATTTTTCATGGTTTTCTGAGATACTTTGCCTTGTTGTCCTTGAGTCCTAGTCCGATTCGCGGCCAGATACAAAGGCTTAGGAATTTAATCGCACCCAATCCACAGTCTATCTAATCACCAAGCGCTTCATAGGGGAATCATGGCCCTAAAACTGGCAGAATTTAAGTGAAGATTGCCATGATAATTCCAAAAGGCCCCGACTTTGGGCGAGGAGGTGGGAGGGAGAGAGTACATTACGTTGCGGGTGCAAAATAGGATCAGAGTAGAGCTTCGCTTTAAACACCAGATTTGTCTATTTTGTAAAAAGGAGTTTTGTCATTGTATTAATTAGCGTGACGTTTATTTTGCTATGTCCATAACTTTTGCAATAGTCTTTTTCCTCGAAAAGTTTCGCATTATTTACCTTTACTACACCTTAACAAATATAATCGTAATCCTTTAGGACGGTGCCGCCACCTCAACGCCATATCTAGCAATCCATCCCTCATCTTTATAAGATGCTTGCTTCACTCCCTCTCAATGCCGTGTTAACGACACAAGATTATCATATCGGATTCCTATATTACTTGTTCCTACACTTCACATGTCCAGAAAAGAAAGTCCTGGTCACAGCCGCCCACACTAAGACACCGACTGCCTTGAAAAGTAGAGTACTATAAGGGTTGTCAAGGTCATTCCCGTAGCTTGTTATCCACTGGTATAATTTTGTCACAAAACACCTCTCTAACTTGAACAGCGCTCCAGATGTAATAATCTCCGAGTTTGATTCAGTCTCATATTTAACGCAATGACTTTGTTTTATACAGATCTGATTTTTCTTAACTGCTATTGTGGATTGATAATTTGACAAATCGATGGCGTCCCAAGCGGAGGAAGAGGCGGAAGAAAAGGAATTCTGGGAGAAGATAGAAATGATGTTTGATCGTAAATTTCCGATCGATGAAGATGTGAGGAAGGTCATAAACGCTGGTATTAAAGAATCTAGATATCTTGACCCTAAAGAAAGAGAAGAGGTGATCGACGCTGCTGTCTGTCTAGCATACGACATTGTCACTGTTGCACAGCGCGAGGAAGAAGGTAAAGAAGCGGAAATTGCAAAGATAGCTAAACGGGAAGCTGAAGTTTACATCAAAAGTAAGCTCGAAGAAAGAAGGAAAACTTCCTTTGAGCAAGAAGCTAGTGGACCAAAAGCATCTCCTGAAGATTTTTCTGCACAGGGTAAAGAAATGGAGGGAGACAACACAGCTAAGGATGATGATGAAGATAATATCGAGGCAAAGCTTGAAAAGGAAAAAAAGACTGGTTTTGACATCAATCAAGAGATCAGTCAAGATCAATCAAGAACCTCATCTGCTGAAAATCTTCCTGAACAGTACTTGGGTGCAGTCGCAAAGATGGAAGTAAAAGCGAGGTAAAAGGGTCGACCCAAAAGAAGGAGAAGAAGAGGGAGCCCAGCGATATCGTGTTGTCTAAGTAGGTGTTGAATCTATCTATGACGAAATCTTAGTAGAGTTTGAGCATAAAAAGGATTTTAAAATGAAGAGGACGATCGATAAATTTCGAAGGATTATTAACATTTGTAATGTCAAAATAGGTTATCTGGTCGGTTTTCCCCCTGGCAATTTTGTTAAATTTTGTAGTTTTGAAGATCTTATCAAAAGATTGACAGTGACAGCCCCAAACGGTGAGAAGCACTCTGATAACTGCGCCAAGGATTTTATCGAAGCCAAAAACGATCTGAACTGTGAGTCGATCAAAATCATAGGTAATGCCTCGAGGCTCGAGGCTTACGGGAGGTTTAATGTTCATGAGGATTACCCGTGGCGCGAGGGTTGCCTACGGCACGCGGATTTCAAAAGGCCCGAGGACTACCCGTGGCACAAAGATTTCAAGAGGCCTGAGGATTACCCGTGGCCCGAGGATTACCCGATGCACGATGATTACCCGATGCCCCAGGATTTTAAGAGGCCCAAGGATTACCCGGGGCACAAGGATTTCAAGAGTCCCGAGGATTACCCGTGGCTTGAACCTACAAAGAAACTGAAAACAATTATTCGTAGGATCAATTATCCGAGTGAAAAGGAGCATGGTTTGTTCGTAGACTATCAGGCTTACGAATGGTTGAAAACAAAAGCAAACTTTAAAATAAGAGACTTTCATCGCTGCGTGCACGCGGTCAGGGAGATGTTTCAATACATGAAACTAATCCTAATACAATTGACACCGGGTGGGCCTTGCAGCGAGTTTAATTTTAAAGCTCTCTGACAAACCTAAATATAACCCAACTTTAGAAGACTCTGTGGTTACTGCTTTTGTTTTGTAAACCTGATTTAATATACTTTTGAGAACGTTCAACGATTCAGGAAGACTGCATCAGTCTAAGTGTTTAACTCAAATGCTACCGTGGGGCAATTTTTATTAATAACCTTAGCACTCTTCATCATATCTCAAAAAATATTTCGAAAGTCAAACTTCCGCCTCAAGCTTTTTTTCTTCAACTATTGATCTTACTTTCTGCCAATTTTCAAGGGAATCTGTTCAATTGTGTGAGCTCTGATTTCCAAAATGTTTGGTCGATCAGTTCGAAAATCAAAGCAGAGTAAAGCGCTTCCAAAGTTTCCTGGGACGATTCGTTTATCTTGATCCGAATTTGTTTTGTCCGAGATTCTCGCCTGAAATATGTTTTTATCTACTAAAGAGGTGAATTTTGATATATTCCACTTGAATATTTATGATTAGTTCAAAAAAAAAAAGGATTTTGAAAAATCTCGTAGCTGAAAGTGTCTTGTATCCTTAACTGCACTGAGAAAGTACATCATTTTAAATCTGTGGAAAGAGGAAGGAGGAGATATGACAGAATTTTTGGAGATCGCACGGAAGTGAGAAAAGCGTCCAAAAATTACCTGGAATCGTTTTTTGGGAAGAGTGGGTTTACAACGTTTTAAAGAGGTTCAACTCTGATACTTCCTCAGCAGAACGAAATACTAGAACTTACCAGCCTTTTAAAAAAGTTTTGCGGTTGTGGCCACGTTATTATAACAAACTTTTATTTGATCTTTAGCGGGTAAGGTTCTGTCGAAGTTCGTGTATCTTTTTTGTCAATATGACGGAAAGTGAATTCAAAATTTCACTTCATTACTCGACAGCAACTTTAGGAAAAATAAACATTTAGTGAAATGGTTGAACAGTTGTCATATCGAAACACATAGCTTTAGAAAAAGTGAGTAGATACTACTTTACGACGTATGATTATGTATATATGAATGTAGTCACTTGAAAACCTCTAACAACGAGCGGCTAAATATGATCATGATGCTTTCCAAATATTTCCGGTCAAACTTAATGTAACATAGCTGCTATCTGTTGAATGTTGAAAGGAAGGCCTCAAATACTGAGTGTTTTAGTAGTTAAGAAAGTGAGAAAAGTACCATGTATAGTAAGCAAACAACGTGTAAATTTCTAGATTAAGGCATTTAAACTACTGGAAAAAAATAGTTCCAAGGAAAAAGACTTGGGTTGTTTATGCACAGACATTGAGGTTGGCAATCAGTGTTAAACAAAAACCAATACAGCAGTATTGATAGTAAAGAATAGATTTAGCTATAAACCTGTTTACACATAAGTTGTCGTTGTTGCTTTTTTTTAGTTATTTTACATTTTCTCCTCATCAAAGCATGAAGTCAACGTTTGGTCCCTTCTAAATCTCACCGGAAGTACTAAGCTCCCACGAGGAACCTCCCCCCTCCCCCCCTCCATGGGGAAGGGAAGGAAGGGCATTTGGTAGGATTTTGGAAATTTTTAATGAGTTTACCTGATCCCCCTGAGGCTCTGCAGTAGAATAACGATCCACCTTCTTATTTTTATACATTATACTCTGTTAGCGATAGCTAAGCCCCACTTCGTTCCCCATAAAAACCATGTGATCCTCCAAGAATTGTTTCGACCTTTGAAAGTCATAACTCCAGTAGCCAGTTCCGGCTGCCTTAGCCCTTTAACTTTCAGAGGTAATCGACATGTAGTTTCTCACTATAATATTTATACATGATCCAGCAAACACGTGATGAGAATACTCAAACTTATCAGGTACAAGTTGTTACCTTGACCTAACCACAATTTCTTGTAACTAATATTCAAGGAAATGAGTAGCAGCTGGAGAGGAGAATTAACATTCAGATCTTTGTAGTTCAAGGGTCGA